ATCTCTGCGACTACCCTCTTTCTTCCCCGCCTCTCTCTCTTCATACACAACCAGGTTTCCTAACACACTGTGATTGTCGCCAGTTGCTTCCCTCTTCTGTCCACTGTCTCTTCAAGCTACCTCCAAGGTTGTGGAAAGGTTTTGCATTTGTTGCAGAGCATGTGAGTAAATGAAATGGCAAGCCAACCATCCCCAAACTTTTGATTAATACTCTTTGGCGGTTGGATTAGCAGCACCATTTTTGCATTCTCTATAATCCATATTTTCGCCTCTATTTCGCTGCCCTCGACACCACCAGCCCTGTGTTGTTTGCGGCACAACACCACGACCCTCTGCTGTCTGCCTTGTATCGAGTTGGCCCACTTCTTCGCTTGACATTAAACCCATGCTAACCGCACACACCACACGATGCAGACCGGATAAAACCCAGTGTCAATACGATTGTTGTGCCTTGATGCAGTTAATGAGTTGGTGGAACCATGTGTTTACTACGGTACCAATTAGTTCAAGGTATCCTGCGGCATGTCGGCGGCACGGCACTCGTGTGGGTATGGCCCGTTCCTCGTACCAAGCTGTGGGGAGGCGGCGGGCGCTCCAGGTGAGGTGGGAGGAGGGGAGAGAAGTGTGCTCGCTGGCTGAAACTAGGAGACAGCTGGTGGAGCAAATGGAAGCAGGCTCAGAGGAATTAAACCTGCAAGTATCGTTGGGTATCCGCAACCTCGGTAGTTTTCCCGCGCCATTTGGGCATTGGCTCTCATAGATACATCGTATGTATGAGGTATTCACGTAGGGTGCAGTCATACATCTCTGTAATGGTGATTTGCGCTGCACGCTGTAGGTTCCGGTCACCACGGTTAGAACTCTAGCTTAATACAAGATTATGCATAAGTCACTATTCACTTACGATATTAGTATTGGACTGCAACCACACGTCATATGCCTCCACTTCAATGGGCAACTCCTCGCGTTTTACTGCTTCCCGAAAAAAGGTGACCACGACTCAGAGACAGGCACTAGATGTGGACTCTCTCACTCTGTCCCTGAGCGGTACATCTGGAGATGGTAGTAGCGGCGGCTAACGGCACCAGTGAGGAGCCAGGGTTGATAGACTTACAGCTGGGACTTTATTCGTCTTCACCTGTGACTTTTCCTCGCCCCATGCTCACTCCTTCATGGTGAGTCTCATGCACATATCTTCCCCACCGGCTCTGTCACCGGTGACTATCTACATAAGGACTGTGCGAAGCCTCAGACTGCCTGTAGTGCTTAAGCCTCGTGGCTACCTATAGACTGTTTTTTAGCTACCAGGCTTAACAAGCAAACGTTCCTATGCCTAGCATGTGTCTCTACTATATAGCATTGAGAACCGGTGTCCATTGCAAGCTCGTCTAACCTTCTCTCTTATCATATCTATATCTGTATACTACTTCTCTATTTTCTGTCTGTCTGTTCTGCGGGGCTATAGGGATGTTTTCACATGACTATCCTGGAGACTGTCGCCCTCACACTTCAGACAGAGCGCTCGCAGTGTCATTGCAGTGACGTGTACATCATATGTGCTGTGGTAGTTGGCATGTACACAACATAATTCTTCCTCCCTCACATAATCGATACAGGGGACTGTCCTTGCTGACACTGTCGTAGGAAGCTGTGATCCTCATGGTCAGATATCCATCTAAGAGGTAATGGCAATACCCGTATAATATTTGGGTTTAATAAATTCACGCGTCCTAACATTCATGCTCTCGTTTTGTGGGTACTAAATCGACTGAGTCTTTGTTCTAACTGTTTAGCAGTGGTGCCTGGGTGTTCTCATGAGAGCTATGGGGTGTCGACGCTGACGTCGACCCCACACCTAGACGTCAGGTCCACATGTCCTTCTCCGTCTCGGTTGCGCATCCATCCACTCAGACGGAATTTGTCAGTGTCAGACTGCGACTCTTGCAAGTGCAGCACATCACTCGTGCATTGTGACATTGCTAGCACTGTCTAGCTATACATATGCAACATGCTTGCTGTATGTTTATGTGCCTCAGTTCTCTCCATGCAAGGATTCAATTTACGCAGCAACACCCGTGCCTGTCGTATGATTGTAGACGAGCGTTGACCATCACCAAATTCTTAAACTTGTTGACCTCTCGTGAGCTCAATTACCATCGACAGCCTCCCCCAGCTGTAGGCCTCAACATCAGCTAAGCCTCGCCGCATGAACCACCACTGTCCACAACATGCTAACACCTCATTTAACCTTCGTTGGTAACTCTTTTAGTGGCTGTGTACTATGCCATCTCGGTATTGAGCTAGGCGCTCAGCTGGTATATGTCTGATCGCGCTCCGTTCTCAGTCGTTGCTCTGCTTGTGTCTGTGTGCTCTAGACCAGCGCCAGTTTCGACACTGGCTACCGCTCTGATGGCACTAACGTATGATGCTTTCTGTATTTTTAAGTGTTCCTCTGTCTTCCCAACTCCATGTCACTACACTTAAATGCTAGCTTTCTAATGTGGACTGTACTTTCACTTCATACCCATGCACCACAATCAGAAAAATGCATGTCGTCATAGAATGCCAATCCTTGCTCTTTCTTTGTTCGTGTCTGAGCACTCCCTTTCATTTGTGGAAGAAATTTACTTGTACAATAAACTCGCAAAATGAATGGTTGCAAGATTTGAACCTCGTGACTCCAGTATAGCGCACAGAGGGGACTAGCTATAGCTGTCTCCGATGTGGTTTGAATGATCTTCCTTCTCCCTCTCTCGTCACTATAAGGCTCGATCTCTGTCGGTTGGTTCAGATTATGCCAGTCACCTAGTCATGCAACAATTAGTGGCGTGCTGAAATTGAGTTCACAATAGTAGGGTAGGGAGTCCGTGATGTGGACAACTGCTAGTAGATGTCGTCACCGGCAGTTCCTTGAGTGGGGGCTTGTGAGGTGTGGATGTGCTTCGGGAAGTCCATGTGCCACCTTACTGACTACTGTAAAACCGGGCTAATGTTTGAATGGTTATACCAGTTCTTTGGTGCTTTTGCTATTAATGAAGTCTCTGAATCGTGTATTCACTTCGCATCGTATATGTGTAGTCCTTTGAGACAGGTGAGTGTGGTAAAGACATGGTGATGTGCGTGCATGGACACTGCCTGTGTCTCGTAGCGCGTGTGTGTATGCTGGAGAGGGTGGGTGAGAAGCGGCGGACCTTGTAGTCTCATGGTCTCAGTGTTGTCTCAACCGATATGCACTGTGTATCAGGTGTTGCAGTGAAACTGAGTGTGTCAGGTAGTCCCATTCCCTTGTGAATGCTACTCACCGTGGGTCGGCAGGTTGCCCCATCGTGAGACACATATTATTGCACGTCTCTCATTCAACTATGGGCCCAGGGTGTTGCGCTAGTGCCACTGGTCTCTGGAGTGGGCCGGCGCTGGTCGGACCGAAGTCGATCACTAGACAGTGACACATCAATTCAGTAGACGGAGATTGCCACTCCCTGCAAATTTATCACCCCTTTCGACCGTCGCGGTGAGAAGTCTAGTCTGTCGTAGAGGAGGAGCGGAATGTGGCAGCTGGCCCTGTCTGGCCAGCTGGTGAATGCGAGAATGGGACATGCTACTCGCCTCCTATCGACCCTCATCCCATGTATTCAATGTGCCTCTCCACCTGACAGTTATGGTTAGTGGTAATAAACACACACTCTCATTAAATAAGAAAACTTGTTAACCTCGCAGGCGCAGCAGACAATAGCACAGACGAGGGTTACCTGTCGTGTCTGTCTGTCTGTCTGTTACCCAACATCTCACTTCACGAGCCATGAATCGCTCCACAAACATTACAACGTATTCAGCGTTGGGTATAGGTCGAGACGCATGTATATAGGGTTTTCTTCCTCATAATGTTTCCTGCACATGAGCAAGTTGTGCCAGAAATCTCTTACATTGTGCTTGAATTTCCGGCACATTCCCCATGCATTATGATATGGGTTTTTTTTATTTGAGAGAGTGTTAATCGTTATAATTGGTGAACAAAGTCAGCACTTTGTCATGCATTCGTTCTCTCCATACTGTCGTGTAACTTTTTTTATTTTTAGAGTGTCCAGAGCCCAGTCCAGGAGTCTGCCCAACTGTCGAAACCTGCTCCAACACCAGCAATGATGGTAAATTCTCAACATTCAGCCTCGCTAACATGAAATGTCCTGTGTATTATTCTGACACTATGTTAGTCTGAGCTAATAGATCAATAATAGAGAAGTTTCACTCACGAAACGTCCCTCTACACACCATTCTTTGCTCTCTTCCCCTCTCTTCATTTTCCTGCAGGAGGGTCTCTGGTGGTGGCAGTGGGTGCTCTCTCTGCTGCACTAGCAGCTCTCCTCATCTGTTACCTCTCCACACTCTTCTACTGTCTCAGAGCCAACAGGAGAGGTATACATACATCTAGACCACCAACTATAGTGGTCCTATCTGAGTGTTGAGTAAGAGAGGCGTGTCCTTTAGTTCCTTTCCCCCATCTCGCTCCAACATTGCACCTCTTCCCCTTCCAAACCTTGACCATCTCGCTCCAACATTGCACCTCTTCCCCTTCCAAACCTTGACCATCTCGCTCCAACATTGCACCTCTTCCCCTTCCAAACCTTGACCATCTCGCTCCAACATTGCACCTCTTCCCCTTCCAAACCTTGACCATCTCGCTCCAACATTGCACCTCTTCCCCTTCCAAACCTTGACCATCTCGCTCCAACATTGCACCTCTTCCCCTTCCAAACCTTGACCATCTCGCTCCAACATTGCACCTCTTCCCCTTCCAAACCTTGACCATCTCGCTCCAACATTGCACCTCTTCCCCTTCCAACCTTGACCATCTCGCTCCAACATTGCACCTCTTCCCCTTCCAAACCTTGACCATCTCGCTCCAACATTGCACCTCTTCCCCTTCCAAACCTTGACCATCTCGCTCCAACATTGCACCTCTTCCCCTTCCAAACCTTGACCATCTCGCTCCAACATTGCACCTCTTCCCCTTCCAAACCTTGACCATCTCGCTCCAACATTGCACCTCTTCCCCTTCCAAACCTTGACCATCTCGCTCCAACATTGCACCTCTTCCCCTTCCAAACCTTGACCATCTCGCTCCAACATTGCACCTCTTCCCCTTCCAAACCTTGACCATCTCGCTCAAACATTGCACCTCTTCCCCTCTTCCAAACCTTGACCATTTCGCTCCTCTGCATGCACAAGAGATGAACATGCAACACAATTGGTGTAGCTAACTTATACAACGGTCGCACTTCATGGCATGTGCAAATATCAGGCCAATTCAGTGAGAAAGGAGGCCATGCAGCATAGATATCTACTTAATGAATCTACATAGTACCATGCTATACACAAACCCTACCCAATACACCAGTGTACCATACATGCTAGTATATGTCCATCTACTAGTGTCCCGGAAGGAGAAGAGGTGGAGGGAGGCGGAGAGACAGAGACTCATGGCTGACAGGGACAGTGTGGGGACTGCTGGCTCTGTCAGTAGAGCCAGTGCTGTGGGTGACAGGAGGAGGTGGAGGAAGTATGGAGAGTCCTCCACTCTAATGGTGAGACTCACGATAACATTCACGATCAAGACGTCCTCACAATAACCAATTATGTACTGTCAAGTGCTTTTCACTTTGCTGTAGTAGTATAACTAGTATTGAACACGCATGTGCAAAAGAATGTGGACAAAGATGATTGGAATAAAGTGACGAGGGTTATGCACTTTCAATTGTTGTCGATTGCTCCCCCCTTTCCTTTTCCACAGACGTTTGTTCCGGATGAAGAAGGCATGGGAGGGGGCAGTGGTAGGCAGGAGAGCAGCTGGCTAGAGGCTGTGGAGCTAACTCACTCCTCACACGTTCACTCTGGCTCTGGGGTAGGCCTGGTGCGTGGTGTGGGGGGCCGGGGTGAGGTACTCCAGAACCCACTGTACACCGAGGAGGACGACGACGAGGAAGAAGGAGAAGGACGAGAAGGAGATGGGGTGGAGATGTTGGCCATGTTGTCTGACATGCAGGCCCTCCCTCCTCCCTCCCCCACTCACTCCTCCGACCTTTAACCTTTTCCATCCAGCCACCCATGAAGTAAACACTGAATACATTTTATTTTACAACAGTTTTAAGACCTGCATTTTAGGTCAGTTGCATTATTATACAAATTTGAGAGTAAGGGAAAAGTAATTTGAAGGAAACGGAGAGACATGACGCCATGCATGGAAAGGCTAGTTAGACATCTGCCAGATCTGAATGTTGGGTGTGTGCTATATTTCTCCGAAAATTTTGACTGCCCACTCATGAAAGTAAATTCGATACAAATAACAGAAAAACTAAGCTAAATCCTTTGCAAAGGACAGTAAAGGGAATCTAGGGATTGTCTGTGTTACAGTTGTAGCTATGTAAATAGAATAGCAGCAGCTATCGGTTGAATTAATTGAAGCTTGCGAGTTTGAGAGCAGACTCCCTGTATTCACACTCTTCCTCTTCATCTGAGACGGTGTTGGTGGCTCCCAATGTTGTTAGCGCGACATCTTCTCTGTTTTCATCTCCATATTCAGCTCCGAATTTGGCCACCCGCCACTGAGGAAACCGATCCTCTTCCTCTCTGTCACGTAGTGCTTCTGGCCTCCTTCCAGTCATAGCCTTCCTCACTCTGTACCACACGTGACCTGCACAGATTCCCAGGAACACAAGGAAACATATCACCACAAGGACTATGTAGATGTAGGCACGTGGCTCGCTTCCAGTACCAATGCTAGAGACATAGAGATTGGAGGAGGCAAATATGAGTAAGATTGCGAGGTGGAATAGCTCTAGTCCGTTCAGCAGCCTTGTCTTGTATGGTTTGAGTACTGCAGTGAGACCTATCAGTGTAGACGATGAGAGAATGAGTAGGAGGAGAATCAGTTGAGGGCCGGTCGCGGAGCTGGTGTTGTTGGCAATGCTAGAGAACAGGACTATCAGAAACACCCTCGCTAGCAGCAGCATCCCTGTCCAGTGGCGATGGCTGTCTTTGTATGGTCCCATGTATGCATCAAACAGAGGCTTGAACCTGTTGTACAGGGAGGACACTCGCCTGAACCTCGATCTCTGTATCCAGGGAGCAGCAGTCAGAGTGACTGTATAGGGTACTCCCAATAGCAGGAGCACTAAGAATGCTACTAGGAAGAGAATAGTATGTTTGGGCTCAAAATACTTGACATTGCCATCAGCCAGCCACACTACACTATGGTAGCCCAGTGACCCAGTGAGTGTGGTGAAGGAGAAAGCTGTGATGAGGATTCTCAGGATCTTGGTGTAGGAGAGAAGGACTAGAGTGGCCAGAACTGAGACTGTGTTGGCCCCGAGGAGGCGAGTCACTCGTGTGGAGTATTTGCTGGCAATGATTATGGCACCAACCAATGCCAGAATGTAGAGAGGAAACACAAACTGAAGCCATGTTTTGGCATAGGTTGTCAGTCCGTCAAGAAAGCACATGGGAATGCCTACATCCAGGTTCAGCCACGCTATGAAGACATTGAGGAACACAATGACTGCACTGGTATCGGAAGTAGTTGGTGCTAGAAATGTGTTTCTGTTGGCTTGCAAGACGTTGGCAAAGAGAATGAGTCCATTCAGAGTCCCAACTGACACTGTCATGTCCAGTAGAGTCACTAGTGTAACCAGAGCCACGCCCATTAGGATGAAGACAGCGATAGACACGAGGTAGACATTGGAGCATGTCTTACACTCTGATGATCCCAGGATCATGCTGAGACCTTCACGACAGCTGCCACAGAGGACTCCTGATCTCTGGTACTGACATTGAGACTCTGCGGTGATGTTGATGTCTTCTGATTGGCAGTAATCAAAGGGGCAGTGAGGGTGGATGAGGATGGGTGAGTCTGGGTCACTGGTAGGTCCGATCCGTAGGGCGAGGTCTCAGAATTGAAAGAGAGGAGGGATACAGAGGAGCGCGAGACTAAGCCCAAGAGAAGTCTAGAAAAAGTGAAGAGAAGAAAAAAAGATCAATGTTATGTGGAGAGACCTCAGGAACGCCGATGCCTAGTCCATTCCACCAGAATGGGACTCTGACACACTCAGTTTCACTGCAACACCTGTACACAGTTAATATCATTTAGCACACACTGAGACCATGGAAACTACAGCGTCTTTCACTCAGATAAACACAGGTAGAAGCACAGGATGTACCTGACCATCATTCGAAAGCTTTGGTATACCTCATTGCTCAAATGCTTTATATACGATGTCCAAGGAATAGATTCAGGACTGTATTTAAGGAGACTGGTATACATTCAAACCATTAGCCAGTGGTGTCAGTAAGGGTAGGGCATTGTTCCCACGAGACTCCACTACAAGCTCAAAACTGGCAGTGACGAGCATCACTACAGTGTCCTCCGGCTCCTCCTCTATTGTGAACTCATTTCAGCCACGCCACTAATTCTGTTGACTGGTGGACGGGCGATAATCTGAACAACCACAGAGATTGAGACCTTATAGTGAGAGGGGAGAGGGGAGGGAAGAAGATCATTCAAAACACATCGGAGGAGAGACGCTATAGCTAGTCCTCTGTGCGCTAGTAATGGAGTAACGAGGGTCCCAATTTGCAACCATTCCATGTGCTAGGTTTATTGTACAGTACATTTCTCACAAATGAAGGAGTAGCTCAGACACGAACAAAGAAAAGAGCAAGGATTCATTCTATGACGACACATGCATTCTTATTGATGGTGCATGGTATGAGTGAAAGTACAGTCCACATTAGAAGCTAGCATTTATTGCTAGTGACACTGGAGTTGGGAAGACAGAGACACTAAAATACAGAAAGCTCATAATTCAAGTGCACAGAGCTGATTAGCTGATGAGGCTGTTGACACACGAAGCAAGGACTGAAGGCAGTATACTGAGGCATAGGCTCTCATATACCCAGATGGCATAGTACACAGCCACCTAAAAGAGTTACCAAAGGGTTAAATAGGTTTAGTCCATTCGTTTGTGATCGATCACGCCTCGTCGTTCCATGGGCAGGCTTTAGTGATGTTACCTACAAACTGGGGAGGCTCCATAGGTAATTAGCTCAGAGGTCAACAAGGTAGAATTTGTTGATGCGTCAACCTCGCTACACATACAGCATGCACTGTGTGCTGCAGTAAATTGAATCCCTTGCATGAGAACTGACTAGAGGCACCTATAAGTGATCGCATACATGCCTATAGCCATAGACGAGTGCGCACAATTTCCAATCACGAGTTCGATGTGCTCACTCGCAATAGATACCAGTCTGGACTGACACGTCTGATGAATGGAACCACAGAGACGGACGACATTGTGACCTTCGACCTCCGTCGACACATAGCTCTCTAGAACACCAGGCCACCACTCGCAAAACAGTTAGAAAAAAAAAAGACTCAGCATTTAGTACCCAAAACACCAAAAAGAATTTTTCCGGAAATTTATAAACCAAATTATTTATACAGGTATTATTACCTCTGATGGTATCTACTGGCTCACTCAGCTTTCACGACATTGCAGCAAAGGACAGTCTGTACGATTATTGTGAGGGAAGATTATGTTGTGTTACATTTGCCCCTACCACCAGCCACATATTTGATGTACAACTCACTGCTATGACAATCTGCAGAGCTTTTCTGTAGTGAGAGGGCGACAGTTCTCCGGATAGTCAGTGAAAACATCCCTATAGCCCCAAATAGAGAAGTATTATACATTAATAGATTATTAAGAGAAAGGTTAGGTACAGCTCTGCAATGACACCTTCTCCAATTGCTATATAGGACACATGCGTGAGCATAGGAACTTTTCTTTGGTTAAACCTGGTAGCTAAAAAAACATGCTATAGGGTAGCCACAGGCTTAAAAGCACTACAAGCTCTTGAGGGCTTCAACCAAGTCCCTTTTAGAAGTCACCGGTACAGAGCCGAGGTGAGGAAGATATGGCAGGACCTCACCAGGAGAGGAGGGAGGAAAAGTTCAAGGGGAAGACAAAAGTCCAGCTGTAGTCGTATCAACCCTGGCTCCTCCACTGTGCCGTAGCCTGCAACTACCATCTCCAGATGACGATCAAGGGACAGAGTGAGATTTAGTCCACATCTAGTGCCTCTGAGTGTGCGTCACCTTTTTTCGGAAGGAAGAGTTAAAAGAGGAGTTCCAGTGATGGGAGGCATATGAGTGTGGTCAATACTATACGTAAGTGAATAGGTGATATGCATAATTTTTTGTATTAGCTAGTAATTCGATCGTGGTGCGGCTAAGCGTGCAGAGCAAATCACTAATTACCAGAGATGTTATTCGACTGCACCTCATACGTCATTACCTACATCACTACACATATTATCTATGAGAGCACATGGCAATGGCGGGGAACTACCGAGTTTGCATACCAACATACTTGGAGTTTAGATCATCTGACCTGCTTCCATTTGTCAACCAGTGTCTCCACTGTCCCTCCCACAAGCACACTCTTCCTCCCCCTCACTCCCACCCTCACCTGGAGCCCCCCCCTCCCCAGCAGCTTGTACGAGACGCCATACTCCACACGAGTACGCTGCGCCACATGGCCGCAGATGACCTGATGACTCTGTCCGTAAACATGGTTTCTTTCGACAACCTAAACTCTAGTACTGCATCAAGCATCAACAATCGTATGACACTGCGTTTTTTCCTGCTCACAGGCTAGTCTGAAGATCCTGTCAACGTGCATTAGATTACCCTCAGCCCTGTCATGCACACAGCGAGGTTAAGGTGGTGTGTGTGTGTGTGTGTGTGCGTTGCTAACAAGCTTTCATGTCGTCGAAGGGAATGGGTACGATGAGCTACAAAGAGATGTCTAGGACGGTGTGTAGTTTGGAATGAACTGTGTAGCTTTGGGTTACACGTATGTACCTCAACTCTGTACGCATAGAACTTCTGACTCCCATGGTGGAAGGCCATAGATAAGAGAGATTACCTAACAGCTGCACAACGACCATCACGAAATTATATGTATTAATTCTATATACCAACCGATCCGGGATCCTCAGAGTGTAAGACATGCTCCAATGTCTCGCCGTCGTGTCATATCGCTGTCTCATCATCCTAATGGCGTGGCTCTGGTTACACTAGTGACTCTACTGACATGACATGTCGATTGGGACTCTGACTGACTCCTTCTCTTTGCCAACGTCTTGCAAGCCACCAGAAACACACTTCTTCTAGCACCAAACTACTTCCGATACCATGCAGTCATTGTGTTCGCTCGGTCGTCATAGCGTGCTAAACTGACCTGGATGTAGGCATTCCATGTCTTCTAAATTATTGACAGACTGACAACCTATGCCAAACATGGCTACAGTTTGTGTTTCCTCTCTACATTTCCTGGCATTGGTTGTGCCATAGGGGATCATTGCGGCATCAATACTCACGATTGACTCGCCTCTCGGACGTCAACACAGTCCCAGTTTCCGCCACTCTAGTCCTTCTCTCCTACACCAAGATCCTGAGAATCCTCATCACATACAGCTTTCTCCTTCACCACACTCACTGGGTCGCTGGCTTACCATAGTGTGGTGTGGCTGGCTGATGGCAATGTCCCAGTATTTTGAGCCGTCAACCATCCTATTCTCTTCCTAGTAGGCCTTCTTAGTTGCTCCTGCTATTGGGAGTACCCTATACAGTCACTCTGACTGCTGCTCCCTGGATACAGAGATCGAGTTCAGGCGAGTGTCCTCCCTGTACAACAGTTCAAGCCTCTGTTTGATGCATACATGGGTCCATACAAAGACAGCCCATCGCACTGGACAGGGATGCTGCTGCTAGCGAGGGTGTTTCTGGTAGTCCTGTTCTCTAGCATTGCCAACAACACCAGCTCCGCGACCGGCCCTCAACTGATTCTCCTCCTACTCATTCTCTCATCGTCTACACTGATAGGTCTCACTGCAGTACTCAAACCATACAAGACAAGGCTGCTGAACGGACTAGAGCTATTCCATCTCGCAATCCTACTCATATTTGCCTCCTCCAATCTCTATGTCACAAGCATTGGTACTGGAAGCGAGCCACGTGCCTACATCTACATAGTCCTTGTGGTGATATGTTTCCTTGTGTTCCTGGGGATCTGCGCAGGTCACGTGTGGTACAGAGTGAGGAAGGCTATGACTGGAAGGAGGCCAGAACCACTACGTGACAGAGAGGAAGAGGATCGGATTCCTCAGTGGCAGGTGGCCAAATTCGGAGCTGAACATGGAGATGAAAACAGAGATGTCACGCTAACAACATTTGGAGCCACCAACACCGTCTCAGATGAAGAGGAAGGGTGTGAATACAGGAGTCTGCTCTCAACTCGCAAGCTTCAATTAATTCTATATACCAACCGATAGCTGCTGCTATTCCACTTACATAGCTACAACTGTAACAGACGATCCTATACCCCCTTTATTGTCCTTTGCAAAGGATTTAGCTTAGTTTTTCTGCTGTTTTTATCAAATGTATTTTCATGAGTGGCCAGTCAAAAATGTAGGAAAAGGATGACCGATAATGTGCAGCTTACTATCGACAGTAACAACTATAGGTTGACCCACAAATTTTTATACTGCAAGGGTTGAATAGGTTTTCCCATGAGTTTTTTTATCCCAGTTTTGTAAAATATAGCACACACCCAACACTCAGATGTGGCACGCCATGTCTAACTAGAGTCATGGGCCATACATAATAATTTCATGTGTTCTCCCCACCCACGCACAACTGTAGAATGGCCTGCGAGGCTATGTCTGACTAACCTGAAGGTGTGTCAGTGAGTGTCCCTCCCTCCAGTCTCCACGGACAGACCTGCTGAGACTCAAAGTCACACGAAACACTCTCCACATGACCAACATACTCTGCATAATAACAACATTATGATAGACTAACATCAAAAATCCATTATGCAACATTCTGTTGGAAATTGGACAGGTAGTGAAAGTGCTACAATCCATATTTATAATAAAAATAGGCATATAGGGAAAGAAAGGGAGACAAGATAGGGATGGGATACATGAAGCATGGCACATAGTTGTACCCCCAAAAAATACAATGTTGAGATTGTGAGTCTGATCCACCACTCACCACTGAGGCTGTAGCTCTGTTCCCCGCGAGAATTCTCCAGAGAGAGGGTCACCAGGTACCTCCTCCCAGTCTCCAGTGGCCTTGTCAGCAGAGAGCCGACAGAGGAGTCCACATGGTAGACCACGCCCCCCTCCTGTCGACGGGTACGTGGGGAGTGAGGGGAGACAGTGATGATGAACTGGGTGATGGGTGAACCCCCATCGTAAGCCACCTCCCATGTGACCAGGATGGAGTGGTTGGTCTCCTGTCTTGTGTCCACAGACAGCAGCTTGGGTGCTATAGTCAGGGACAGAGAAAGACAGCTGTTTTAGGAAAAATTTTTAGCAGATTTGCAATATACCTCCCCTGGCCAATGAA